GTTAAAAAAAAAGCATCTGGAAATTATCAGGCAAATGGACAGAAGTGAAATAAAACCATCCTGAGTGAGGTAACCCAAACCCAGAAAGACAAATATGATATGTACTCATTTGTAAGTGAATATTAGGCATAAGGCAAAGGATTATCAGCCTACAGTCTACAACACTGGAGAAGCTAGATAACAAAGAAGACCTTAAGAGACACATGGTTCCGCCTATGAAGGCAAAATAGACATGGTCTCCTAAAACCTTCATCCAATAACTGATGGAAGCAGATGCAGAGTGGTTAGTTGTAGATCTAACCACTGGACAGAGCTCCCAGAGTCCTGTTAAAGAGAGGGAGGATCAATAACATGAGCCAAGAGGTCAAGTCCACGATGGGGATACCCACAGAAACAGCTGACCCAAATTAGTGAGTACTCACTGAGTCCAAATGGACAACCAGGGAACCTGCATAAGACCAATCTAGGCCCCCTGAAAGCAGGTGAGAGTGAGTGGCTTTGGCAGTTTATGGTGCCACTGGTGTAGTGGGAGCAGGAGCAATCCCTAATGAATAATCTGGCTTTTTGGAGCCCATTTCCTATGAAGAGAAACTTTGGTCAGCCTAGACACAAGAGAAAGGACCTTGGTCTTGCCTCAACTTGGGAATGTGAGAGAATTTGTTGACTCCCCATGGAAGGCCTTACTCTGTCCAAGGAGCAGATGAGGGGTGGGATGAGGGGAAGATAGGGGAAGTGGGAAGAGGGAAAGATGGGGGAAGTGGGAAGAGGGGAGATGGGGGACTGCAATTAGTATGTAAAAAAATAATAAAGTATAAAAAAATCAGTAGCTAACATATTTAGGTTTGAGATACCAAAAGCCTGTCCCTCAAGGGTCATTTCCAACAATTATATGATTAATACTGTCATATAAGGGATGATTATATCATGTTAGGTGTAGTTATAACCTGGTTAAATATGTGATTGTATACATATTGTACATGGTTTGTAATTGTACATGGTTTTCATTTGGAAATTAAGTATGACTGAAGGAGACATAATCGTGTGTCACATTGGCAAGGGCTGGACTTGTCATGGCTATTTTGGGTTATCAGTTTGACTACTTCTAGAATTAACTAAAACCCAAGCAGGTAGGTACATCTGAGAGGGATTCTTTTCCTCAATTCCATAATTTGAAGTGGGAAAATCCGCTTTAAATTCGGATCTTCTAGGGTGGGAAAATATACCTAATTTGGGCCCCAGCTTCTGCTGGCAACCCATTATACAGGACAAGGAAGGAAAATGTTCCCTCTCTATCTGTTTGTTCTCGTTCTTGCTGACAAGCCTATTCCTCTACTGGGATCAGAGAGTAATTCTTTATAATTCTGTCATATACTGGAACCAGCTGAGACATCCAGCCTCATGGACTAAACAGTTGCCTGATTCTTGGACCTTCCATTGGTGGACAGCCACTTTCGGAGTGCAAGGACTACACCGCCTGTAAACCATTCTAACAAATCCCATTTTTCTCTATATAGATTCATTCTATAGCGTTTGTTCCGCAGAGAATCTTAATGCATGAAACCTAGTGGTCCGTTTGGTGATGAATGGGTATTTATGAGACGAAGTAGTCACTCCATATGATTTAGTTCTATCGGGCAGCGCTCCACTCAGCACAGTCAAGAGTTTTCATTAATGAGCCCAGCAGACTCCACTGCAGTGGTGGCTTTTCCGTGAGAGCATCAGTTGTCACTGTCATCTCATGGATAGAATGTGGGCAGTGAACAGGGAGGATGGCACAGGCTTGAGTTATGAAAGGCAGATTCACCTTCCCCTCCTCTCCATTGGTTTTTGTTCAGCTTTGCTTTAGGATACAGACTCTTGCGATGTAGGGAAGGGCTATGGTTAAAATGAGAAATCATCCCCCAGAGGCTCAGGGCTTTGACTTCTTGTTCTCCTGTTGGTGACACTGCTTTGGGAACCCAGTGGCTAACTTTGGCTAAAGCTGTGAGGTAGAGGGATTTATCTGACTGAGTTCTGGCCAAGATCTGCTTCCTGATCCTTCAGATGGGACAAGCTGGTCCACCACTGCCACCACAGATGGAAACTCGGCCGATAACCATTCCTGTCCTGCCAAGAAACCCAGAGCCCAAGTAAACTCTTCTATCTTCAAGTTGCTCCTGTCAGGTATTGGGAACCAGTAACAAGGACAACAACTAACATAGCCAGACCGTCCTCACTCTCCTGGTCTCCCCGCCTCAGCCTCTCCAGTGCTGGGATTACCGGAGTAGACAGCCTCAGCTGTGGCAGTCCTTTCCCAAGTCTACCTATCTTCCTTTTTCTTCTCTTCATCTCCCGCCTTCTCCTCTCTCCCTCCCTCCTCCTCTTTTTCTCTTTTTCTCTCTTCCCCTTCCTCTATTTCTCTTCCCCGTTGGAAGTTCTTGGCAAGACAGCCTCGTGGTGTTGGTGGGGGCTCAGCTCAGCTCTTTGAAATTTCCCATTAAAAATCTTGAATGGGCTGGGGGTTAGCTCAGTGGTAGGGGCTTGCCCAGCAAGCACAAGACCCTGGGTTCAGTCCCCAGCATTCAGAAAAAGAAAATGGTCATGAGAGTGACCTTGGACATGAAACTCCCAGCACCTGTCAAGTCTTCAGGCAACAGTGTGACTCACGAGAGACCCTGAGGACGAACCAGCCAGCCTGGCTCCTCATGGGTGCCTGACACTGTGGGGTATTCCATGTTTATTGCTTCCAGATGGGCATTTGGGGACAATTCATTCTGCATCAGCCAATGAGTGAGAAGAGGCCAGTCTGCCTCTTAGTCCTTAGGACCAAGGAGGAGAGTAAGGGCAGACAGGAGAGAAGACAGCATGCAGGCTCACCCCACAGCTGTGCCATACTAGATTCCTCCCTAGGTGGTAGCTGCCTCTCTGGCCTTCTTTCAGGCCACATGGGCTACCACGGTTGCTCTGTTCTTCCTGCCTAAACCCCTGTTGTATTCCCACCAGCAACTTCCAAGGTGGGCTCACTGATGACTGTCTTCTGCGAAAGTTCCCAAAGCCACATGCCAGTTGATCCTGAGCCAACCCAGGTCTGAACCAGACCAGCTGGGTGGTGTCCATCTCTTCACCAATACACTTTGGTCCTTGATGACCCATACCCAGCCTGACTGTAACAACACAATAACCTCAGAGCAGAAAAGACAACTGTCGAGGTCACCTGACTCCAGCCCTGGGTCTATACCCCCTGTGGCAGTCCAGGGTAGTCACCTGCTGTGCTGGGGGGATCGGTTGTGAATCTTTGAGGTCACTGCAATGCTCTGGCATTAGGCATGAAGGCTTTGCCTGCTGCCACCTCAGTGATGGTCATTATGGCCCACTTACTGCCTGGGTCTTACAGCTCTTGTGTGCTTCAGAGGTCTCTTATGACTAGAGTTTTGCTCTGAACTTTTGGTAGAAGGGCCTTCTGTCCATCTTTCCATGGGTCTATGCTATACAAAACTCCAGGTAGTTCCCACTCTCCATCTCCAAACCATCTTGCCCAGAAATTGTTAGCTTGGGCCACACCATCCTAAAACTCCTCCATTTCAGTTGAAAGGTGACAATTCTGGAATTTAATAATATTTGATTTCCAGAACTAAAATAATTCGTTTCTATAGATTCTAGCCTTCCCTACACTAGCAATTCCCAATAATTGGTCTTCCACAAGAGATGTGTATCTATGCCCAACTTTATCATTTTTAACTCAGTATTTCTTGCTTACCCTAGAAGGAAAACCTTTTCAATCTCCTTGCTACTCTACTCCCTGAGAAAACTATAAGAAGGGGCTGTCACTCTGCCACATGGGCCTAACCTTTCCTCAGAGCCTCAGCCATGCTACATAGCTCTACCTTTTAAGTGGTGTGTATACCATGTGTATACCATGTGTATGTATGAATCTCAAGGGAGAGCTTTAGAGCTTTGCCATCAGCATCCTGATTCCTTGTCTTGAGCCAGGAAGATGTATTTATACTTTTATTTATTTATAAATAAATAAATAAATATTTATATTTTTATTTATGCAGGTGTGTGGATGGGAGAGTCTACATGTGCAAGTGTCTGTGGGTGCACGTGTAGGTGTCGTGGTTGTCCCAGGAGGCTAAGAATGAGAGTCTTGGGGGAGCAGCTGCTATGTGTGCCGAAGCCCAGAAGCCCCACACAACAGCCTTCGCCAGTGGCTGAGGCACTGGTGGAGCCTTAGAGAAGAAAGTGTGAGGGCCCCCAAGAGGATCAAGTGAAGGTCTCAGTTTATGTGTGGGTCGGGAATAAAGGACAGGAAGAGGGATATTCAGGATGTGGTGTGAAGGGCTGTCACACTATAGTATCCATTATGAGAGACATTAGGGAGAACCATGGTCATGTGTCCAAGGCTCTTGTTCCCGAACAGCCAGGACAGCAAATTCCTTTTCCCGTGTTTTCCTTCATGGCCTGTGTCTGTACTTTCTCTTTCTCCACATCGTGTCTGTCTCATGCTTCCCTCCAGCTGGTCCCTCTGTCAGCAAGTCCTCTACCTGTTCCAAATTTGCTGCCTATGGAGCGCCACTCCTACATCAAGGCCAGCTCCATGCTGTTCTTTGGTAAAACCTTCCGTTTGTCTCTCTGAACTGTTAGTCTCTACATCCCGGAATCACATGGCAGCTGAATCCAATAGCTTCCAGTAAGTTCTAAGACAACATTCACGTGTGATGTGCAACAGAGGCTCCAGGCACTGCTCCTCCACCTCTCGGCCCACGCAGTGTTTGCTTTCTGTCTGTTTGTTCAGTAAACTTTTGGAAGCACTGGACCTTGGTCTCGTACATGACCTTAGACATGACTCCTCTCTGACCTCCAATGGACTGGGTAAACAGGAAGAGCCACAATTTGCCGCGAATCATTAGACGTTATACAAGGGAAAGGCATGAGGGGGTGGGTTGACCCCAAGGTAAGGCCTGATTGTGGACAGCCACTCCGTCATAGTCACTGATGAGATGTCTGGATCTGGTCATAGCCACGTGCACTGCTGCACGCCAGCACCTTTGCCAGGCGTCAGAGCCTGGGCCTTCACTGTCACCAGCTAGTTCTGAGTAAAAACCAGAGACAGGGACAGACCTTGTTGCAGGGTCCTGAGGAAGGAAAGCGATTGCAAATGAAAAGTTCCCACAGGAGACTGACAGAGAAGTTCTTAGTAAGTACTCTAGGGGGCAGTCAAACTCTGGGGCTCATTCCTAGAAACCACAATGGGAGGTTCACACCTTTCTGAAACACCAACTCCCAGGGATCTTATGGGCACCTGCAAACACACACACACACACACACACACACACACATGTACACGCACACACACACACACACACACACAGAGAGATGAATAAAAGTGAAATAAATATTTTTTAAAGGTGCTGACCTTGTGTGATAGTTAACCTTGGTTGTCAACTTGGCAGCATCTGGAATCAACTAAAACCCAAACTGCTGTCCACAACTATAATGACTGGGTGAGATTGTCTCAAGCAAGAGGACTCGCCCGAAATCTAGGCCACACCTTCTAATGGCAACCCAGATAAAAAGAGATGAAAGAAGGAAACTTTGCTTCCTGCCTGCTTTCCCTTGCTCTCATCGGCAAACGCATCTGTCCTGTAGCTATGGTGTTCCTTGGCCCATATCAGAACCAGCTTCTTGAGGATTCCAATGCAGACTGACAATCAGCTGCCCTCCAACAGTCCTTCGGGCCTGCAAGGCTAGAAAGGAACTGCTGAGACAGCCAGCCTCGGCGTGGGCTGTCAGGTTCTCAGCCTCTCCAGTGTGAGACAGCCATTGTTGGACTGCCAGAACTGCATCCTGTAATCCTCTTATAAATCACACACGCATGCACACACACACAGAGACATACACACATGTGTGTGCATATGCACGCATGCATACACATACACGTACACATGCATGCACACATGTATGCTTTCACATACACATACACACATGCACGCATGCGCGCATGCACATACGCATACACACACGCATGCACACACACACACACACACACAGAGTTGTGTTCTTTTATGAAACCCTGACTAAAACACACCTTGTTATTTCCAGTGGATACCCATCTTCAATATGATCCAGGAATCAGAGCTCTGAGCACAGCCTCATGGGAACCATGATAGTAATATTCACGTTAGGGTGGACAAAGTACTCTGCTCTGGGGACAGCTCACCATGGAACAGTTTGAGGTTTGGTGGCAGTTTTGCTCAATAATTCATTCACTCATTTGCTCTTTCATGTGCCAAATTCCCTCTTTGACCAGAAGACGGGAGTCAACCCAGGATGCTGAGATTCAGACACACCTGTTACTCTGTCTCCATTCTCCCTCCTCAACAGAACACAGGGTTGAGGGTAGCGGTGGGGCCACAGTCCCCATCTGTTATGATTTCGGTGAAAAATGTTCCCTTTGTGTATCTGAACACTTGGTCCCCAGCTGGCGATGCTGTTTTGGGGGTTGTGGGAAACTCTGGGAGACGTAGATGGAACAGTGGCTAGCTGAGGAATGGGCCTCGGGGTTTATAGCCCAGCCTTCCTTTCTGTTCCCACACCTGCACATCCACTCAGGTGCGAGAAATCAGCCTCGCACTCTTGCTGCCACAGCTGAACCCTCCCCTGCCCCATGCCTTCCTCGCCATGGTGAACCATCCCCTCAGACCTGAGCCTGAAGGGAACTCTTAAGCTGCTTCTTGTGGGGAACTGGTCACGGCGACAAGAAACTCAGCAATCTATCATTCATCTCGGCTCTACCATGTGCAAGCCGTGTGACTGGGCAAACCGCCTCGGCCTCAGCAAGCCTTCCTTTCTCGGTCAGCCGAACAGGAATGATGGCGTCGCATGGCGAGTGTCACTCTCCCCAGGGCTGTCTCCAAAAGGACAACGAGACCCAGTCTTTGCGAAATGCTTTATTGCTATTGCCAAGGTGAAAATCAGCAAGTCAGTCTCTGATCACACTCTGCGGCTGGCGACAGGGCCTCTGTCATTCCAGCCCAGTCAGGTTTGCCTGTTGATACTTTTGTCCACAGCAAGACACTTCTACCCTGATGCTCAAGCATGCTAGCAAGCTGAGTTCTTATATCAACTATGACTGGCCTGGAGCAGCCAGGCCTGTGGAATGATTTTTTGCATATCAGTGGATGGACTTCTTGCTCTAATCCTTCACTGGAGGCACCAAGAAACAAAGGTCCAGAGAGGGGCGTCGTCATTCCCATTTCGAAAGCACAATGAACTGATGAATTGTGGCTGACAGGTGGAAGACCAGGCTTAAAGATGTGCTTTCTGGTGGCCGTCACCTATAGTGACCAGTCTCTCACAAAGCTTTATGGTGACAGACTGAGCACAAATGGCCTGGGCACTGGGTATGACTGTGACACAAATATGGTGGTGGGACCATGGAGAAAGCAGCTGTTAGCCTCTTTAGGCTCAGTGCCAATCACGGATGAAAGATGGGAGCAAGAACACATCCCTTGCAACTGCGATCAGAGAAGCCACCATTAGTATATTAGTATTATTTGTAACACCTTGCTAATCTATTCAGCAAATCACCAACTACCAACAGATGAATGGGCTGTCGTATCATCATGGCTTCCTCTGAGTCAGCCTGTGGGTTTCGGGAAGAGTCCCAGCTCAGGGCCGGACCACTTTGCCAAGGAACAAGAGCTCCATGTTGTCCACAATGGCAAACAGAAAAGGTCGGTTGAATTTTATCTGCAGAGTCTTCAGCCGAGCAGATCTGACCATGACGACCGCTCCTGTGGCAGCAGCCGCTACGGTTCCTGTCTCGTCTACCTCCACCAAGGATTTGTGCATGATCTGCAGGCAGACAGTGGGGCCAGGTTGTGGTGATGCATCATGATAAAAATGTTGCTTGTATTTCTAAGGAACTGGAACCTCACAACCAGAGTTAATAATACATCCAGAGGTCACGGAAGTCGGCCATTCTACTGCTGGCGTAACCTGCTTTTAAGTGAACGGAGCAATAAACAACCTCACTTGCCTTGGATTTCCTATGCAGTCTTAAATTATATACTCTTCCATTGTCCCTGATCTAGACAACACTGAGTGTCATTTGCTGAAAACATCAGATACAGAAGTTGAAAGCAATCTTCTAAAATGAAATCATAAACAATGGTGTTTGT